CAGCACCACTGAGTCTGTGGTTAACACTCTCCCAACAGATTTGATCTTCAAGAAAAACCCCCTCAACATTGCTCTTCCTTAAGCCACATCAAACAAATACGCTCTCAAGTTGAATTCTCCTTGGTTCTTCGGTATCCTCAAACTTTGAAAATATCCATACGTAATGCCTCTTGGGCTTCCCAGGTGGCTCAGTGGTAAACAATCCTCCTGCCAATGCAGGAGATGCGGGTTCGCTTTCTGGGTCGGGAAGATCCCTGGAGGAGGACGTGGCTACCCACTCCACTGTTCATGCCTGGAGAATCCCTTGGACAGAGGAGCCTCGTGGGCTACACGGGGTCGCAAAGACTAGGACACGACTGAGCTACTGAACAGCCAATGCCTCCTTGGTGAATGTGAGCAAAGCTGTTCAATACAGTCCTATTTTCTTCTTCTTTCTTTTTTGGCCTCAACCTACCGTGTTTACATTGGGTGAACTGAGAGGGTAAGAACTTATAAATACCCAAAAGTCTGCTTCATATAGGAGCCTGGGTGAAGGAATGGTTTCACTCATGTTTTTAAGAGTTCTCCTTTTTCAGAATGGTAGAGAAGCATTTCATGAGGATTTTGTCTTTCTTCAGCCTTTATTTTTTTTTTACCAGGAATAACCTCATGAAGCTAACAAGAAGATTTGTTATGAAGAGAGTATCAGATTCTGGGTCTGAATTTCTGTTCAGTATTTGGGATTAAACAATGACCTCTCTTGGCTCTTTTTTTTTTTTTCACTTGCCCCTTGATATTCCAGATGTTAGAAAAAAATGTGCAGGCAAATTAGAGTAACCTTTGTCTACCAGGCATGGTCAGTATTCACTTTCCATACCTATATAGTCAATGAAGGAACTTGAAGAAATCCTGAAAATCTATCCTGGAAGTTTGAACTCACTTCCCCTAGAATAAGTGTCACTTCGTTGCTGTTCCATCCAGGTTATTGAATATTATCTTAAGAGAGACTATCATCTGTATTGTCCCTTAGAAGCATTAAAACAGGAAATCTCCCCGTGATGCCCTCTCAGAAAAGGTAGGTAGGAAGTGGCATCGGGAGTCAGCAAGTGTCCCATTTCTTATGGATTTTACCAAGTCATGTGACCTCAACATTTTTAGACCGAAAAATAAATTGGTGACTTTCCTACCTGCTCATTTCACATCTCCCACCACCACTCTCCTTTTCTTTCTTTCCAGAAAAAAAAAGGAACTACTTTATAGTCTTTTTTTGGTTGTTGTTGAAATAAAGCTATTTATAAGATTTCTGTTGTGACCCTCACATGCTAATAGCTCTTTGGTGTTGTTTTACTGTCTAAAGCCCCCTGGTGGACCATAGGCTGTACAAAAGGGTGAGTGTAGCTGCCTGCTAGCCAGTTTATCTTTACCTTCCATTTTCAATATTTTGCTTTTTGCTTGCTTGCATGGGGCTGCAGCCTAGGTATGCCAGTAAAGTTTCACATCCATTTCGAATGAAATAAGATAAAAACTAACCCTGACTACTAACACTGCTACTTTATACAACAGGAGAACAGTCACATACAGACATACAGAGATGCATGAGCAGGTGAAAGGCCCTGAAGCCACGCTAGCACTTGGTGGGAGAAGCCTTCCGTATGAAAAAGGTGGCTGGTGGGACACGTTTAAATCTAAACAAGGCTGCACTAGAAGGAAATCCTTAAGCAAGTGGTAATTGGTGATAAAAATAATCTACATGAAATTAAACTGCTTCTGTGTGGAAATTTCTAGAGCAAGAAGGCTTGCTAGGTGATACTGACGTTTTTCTTTTAACTCATCTGTTTCATATTTAGAGTTACATAGTTTCATTTTCTAACTCTTCCTTTCCTAGTGCTAGGAGGTAAGTCAGTACCCAGAGCCAAGTCAGTACCCAGAGCTGCGCCTCCTGAACCAGCCCAGTACGTTCATTATCCAAAAGGGAGTGAGCCCGACTTCCAGCTTTAATGACAGTGCTGAAGAAAGACAGGGTGGTGTGAAGTGCCTGAAACCTGTACATTCTATGTTACGGTCCTGAGTGGATGTTCCAAGAAAATGTGTGTTTTAAAGAAATGATAGCGGTAGTTCAATGGACCGTCTGTGAGTGTCAGATTTTTAGAATCTGATGCTGATTTGTAAGTATGCAGACATGACTATAACAAGTCTTTGCTGTTATTGTTCAGTCACTAAATCATGTCCAACTCTTTGTGATCCCATGAACTGCAGCATGCCAGGCTTCCCTGTCCTTTACTATCTCCTGGAGTTTGCTCAAACACATCTTAAGTTATAATAAAGGATGTAGCAAGCAGAAAACTGTTTTTTAAAAGCCAGAAATTGAATTCACTAAAATCAGACTTGAATTTAGGTTAACTAGACAACTTTTGTCCTAGAGATAGTCTTAAGATGCATTTAAAAATCTAACATGGCAGAAAAATAAAGTAAAATAAAACATGGCAGTTACCTCTATCAACTCAACTACATCCAACATCCTCCCTTCTTACCTTATGCTAACACTGTATTTAATCATTTACAAGATTTCTGAGAAAAGATCATGCTTCAGAAATTCCCAAACTTCTAATGTATTTGGAGATGTTATTTCCCATATAACCACATTTGTGTTGATGCTAATATTTATTCATTATATTTTAATCCAAATATTCAAAGGCCTTTTAATTAAAAGGTCAGGTAATAAACATCTGTTGCAATATAGCAGTTCCCCTTATCCATGGGGGACACATGCCACGACCCCGATGGATGCCTAGTGGATGGGTAGTACCAGACACTAAACATACATACATGTATATGCTAGGTTTTCGCCTATACTGACAGGCAGTTCACGTATACAGCATGGGTGTGCTGGACAAAAGGGTGATCCCCGTCCCAGGCAGGACCAAGATTTTACCATGCTACTCAGACAGCACACAATTTAAAACTCATGAATTGTTTATTTCTGGAGTTTTCCACTTAATATTTTCAGACCACAGTTGACCTGTGGTCCGCTAAAACCTTGGAAAGCAAAACCACGGATAAGGAGAGGATCACTGTATCTAGTTCTGCCATCGAAGCATGAAAACAGCCACAGACAGTCCCATCAGTGGAGAGTTGTGGCTGTATTCCAATAAAACTTTATTACACACATTTGCATTGGGCTGGATTTAATCTACAGGCTGTAGTTTGCTGACCTAAGGTGACAGGAGAATTGAGTTTTTATACGTTCTTCCTAAATCAAGATCCCAGGTGGCTCAGTGGTAAAGAATCTTCCTTCTAATGCAGGAGACTTGGGTTCAGTCCTTGGCTCAGGAAGATCCCCTGGAAAAGTGAATGGGGACCCATTCCAGTATTCCTGCCTGGAGAGTCCCATGGATAGAGGAACCTGGCAGGCTATAGTCCATGGGGTCACAAAGAGTTGGATACAACTGGATAACTAATATATATATGTGTGTGTGTGTGTGTGTGTGTGTGTACATTAGTTATCCCTGTAAAAAGTTGACACTGAAGGAGAAATTAGTTTTTAAAAATGTAAAGCAGCTACATGCCATTGTAAATTTAACTAGTCAGAGCTCTCTAGAATTAGGCAGCTGCTTACAGTTGAATTATTTCAGGTCCCACGTGATGGAGCCGGCTCAGAGATTTGAGCAGATTTCTCTGTGTTTGAAATACAAGAGAAAAATGGGACACAAATCTCCATTTCTCTCTTTTTCTATTCCCTTTCACTCTCTGCATACATAGATAATATCTCTTTCCATTAAAAAAAGAAAAAAAAAACTCCCAAGAGAACAGATGCATGCCTTAGTATTCAATTTAATTATAAGTGATAGTATCTTGCATGTTCTATGCAGTTTATATAGTTCGCTGCAAGGATCCAACAGTTTAGTAAAAGCAGTTGCTTATGCACTTTGGAAGCTTGTTAGGGTCTGGTATGTTAATGATCCTTTTTAAGAGTACATTTTCTAGAAGTGCTTTTCCATGCCAACCAGAGTCCCCACCTTCATTTCCTGAACGTCTGTTGCATTCTGCTGTGAGTTCCTAAAACTCCTCCTCATGCATGAAAACTTGGAATTTCATAATACCCTCATCCCTCTCAGTCTTAGGGGGCTGGAGAGAGAGGAACTGAGAAGCTTTCAGGTTCCCTCCAACATGGTTATTTTTCTCTGACGTATGAATTCCCAGGTGACTCAGTAGTAAAGAAACTGCCTGCAATGCAGGAGACACAGGTTCAATCCCTGGGTCAGGAAGATCCCCAGGAGAAGGAAATAGTGAACTACTCCAGTATTCTTGCCTGAGAAATCCCATGGACAGAGGAGCCTGGTGGGCTACAGTCCATGGGGTCACAAAAGACTGACAGGACTGAGCAACTTAACAACTTTGTTCCCTTAAACCGAGGAACAGCTTATCTGTGTCTTGTCTAATTCCCAGTAGGATCTTGTGTCCTCTCTGTCCACTGGAGAAGTCAGGATGGCCCTTCCTCTGAGTCCCTGGATTAAAGTGGCTCGTGGGAGGCAGGGCTTTCTCTGAGGAGGATTTATATTCCTGGAATTTATGTCAAAGGAGATAATATACTTACTAATGTATAAAGTAGACCATAGTTAAGGCATGTAAGGTTTATATATTCAGAGATAATAATTTGAAAAGTGAAAGAATGAAATTTCATGCTATAGTGTATATAAAAGGCAATTTGACCCCAACTCCTAAGTTAATGAAGGAGAAAGATAATATAAAGGGAAGTGATGTCAGCCATCAGAATTGGGAGCCAGTAGGCTAATTCCAGCAGCTGAGCAATCAGAAAATACCCATTCAAATTATCAGTCTTGGGGAAAGCTAAGAAAAAGCACCAAATGGTCTTCGCTGAATCTAGCTCATTTTCACCAGACTTCACCCCTAATTTATCCAGTAATTTAAAATGGAGTCATCCAAATCCTAATGCCGTCAGAGGAATTTGTTTTGTCTTGGACACAATAACTATCTATTTGAGAAAGCATTAAACACAGATATTTGAGTCAACAGTTTTAATTATTATTTTCCTAGTTCTTTGAGGTGTGATACAACTTCAATAAATGGCTGAAGGATTGCTAAGCTTGAAGAAAGTTTTTAGTGCACAGGCTGAAAATAATTCTGCATTCCAGTTGGGTTTTCAGTGTTTCGAACAGGGTGTTATTCAGTGTTACAGCAGAAAACCAGGATGCTTCAGATGAAAAAGAAGATAGAAAACAGCTAAATTACCTAACAGGTTTATTCTCAAGGTATTGAGACTAAAATAGAAATTGCCTTAGACAAATTTCTTCTTTCCCTGATGAGATGAGATTTCTGCAAGAGAGCCTTATAACCTGTTATAGTCCCTGCAGGTATTGTAAACAGCAGGACTCCCGGTATTGAAATAACCAATTTCTTATAAATTGCTGGCCTAGCTACCCATGTTCGATAAAGGTGGGTGAAACCATGCAACTGGAAGGAAAAGAGCCCTGGTTGGAGGAAGAAGAAATAACACTTTCTGATCACAGATTTTTAAACAACAGGTTTTCTATTTGACAGCTGAGTTTCCAAACACTTAACCAGATGCTGCTAGTTATCTTGGTAAGTAGCATTGACAGCACAGATTCTTGAGAGCAGTTGAGCCAAATATCTGCAGTGGGCCACTAGCAAGTTCTGCAGGTCACACATAGACTTTGTGTGTGGTTCTCTCCACTTTCGTCCAAAGGGCAGCACTCTGACAATGCCTGCGAGTGAGCTGTTTAATTGAGGAAAGTAACAGAGTCTGTCAGCAACTCGGATGTCTCACTTCTCTAGTTAAACGTGGCGTTAGGTGAATTTCCAAGTGGCCCAGTCGGCTCAGGGAGGAGTGAGAGATGAAGGTGGGACGTGGCATCTCATTCAAATCTGCAAAGTAATTCTGTCTTACTTGCCTCTTTTAGGAAATGAATCTTTTGGGAACACAGTGGTGTGTGTTACATTGCAGACAACATGCTCTGTGTTGTTCTTATTGGGCCTCTCTGTCTTTTTCATTTTGCAATCCAAATGAGGTATCCGGAAAATGGCAAGACCTCTCTTTTCCTAAACCCCCCCACGAGCCATTGCAGCTCTCAGAACAACAGGTAACTAAGCAGAAAGCCGCCTCTGGCTGCCCTGTACATTTCTGACGTCCAGCATTGCAAGAATATACCTGCCAAGATCCACTGACTCATGACACATTTCCCTGGCTGAGCATCACCAAGTAGATGTAATGAAGCCGCTTTGCCTAATGCTTTACCCATGGAGCCATTGTTTGCTACGAGTTTCTGAAGCAGGCCTACTTCATTTATCCATAAATGATCATGGGACGTCTGATGGACAGAAACCCCGTGGGCTTCTGCTGGCTTTCAATGCTGTTGCTTTTCTTCCTCACTTCAGTGCATTACAGTGCAACGCAGTTTGGGTTGAGACTGAAGCAATACCCTAAAGTGATTATTTTCAGCCTAGAATGTTTGGGGGGTAATCTCAGGGTTGTCTTTAATTTTAATAGCTGGATGGTTACAGGCCAAAGTCTTACTCTTCTAAGTACTGTTTTAAGTCCAAGCCAGTAACACGAGGACCATTTCCCAAGTTATGGGTGCAAAGTTCAAAAAAAAAAAAAAAAAGTTCAGATATGTGGTCCTGGCAGCTCTCCTTAGAGTAGCAATCTCCTTGTACCTGCAGAAGCTACAGTTTCTATTTGTATGGTTGTATTCACAATCTCAAGGAAGACTGCTTTGCCTGTCTTCCATGCAAGGGAATTCAGAAGTAAGTGTAATTATCACAGGCCTTGTTTTTTTAACATGGACATTAGATTCTTTTCTTTCCTCAACCTGAGTGAGTCTAACACCTGTAATTCTTTAAGAGAACACAAAACTTAGTAACCCTTAGTTGAGTGTGTGTAGCATAATGTAACCAAAGGTTATTGGGCATCTGTATGCTCAGTTCTGTAGACGTGATGACTTGGACATCTGTATTCTCAGTTCTGTAGATGTGACTTGGACATCTGTGTTCCCAGTTCTGTAGATGGGGTAACTTGGACATCTGTATACTCAGTTCTGTATGTGATGACTTGGATATCTGTATTCTCAGTTCTGTAGATGGGGTAACTTGGACATCTGTATACTCAGTTCTGTATGTGATGACTTGGATATCTGTATTCTCAGTTCTGTAGATGGGACAACTTGGATGTCTGTATTCTCAGTTTGTATGTGATGACTTGGGCATCTGTATTCTCATTTATGTAGATGTGGTGACTTGGACATCTGTATTCTTAATTCTGTAAATGTGGTGACTTGGGCATCTGTATTCTCAGTTCTGTAGACGTGATGACTTGAATTATCAGTTCTGTAGACATGATGACTTGGACATCTGTATTGTCAGTTTGGTAGACATGATGACTTGAACATCTGTATTGTCAGTTTTGTAGATGTGATGACTGGAGCATCTGTATTCTCAGTTCTGTAGACGTGACGACTTGGACATCTGTATTCTCAGTTCTGTAGACATGGTGACTTGGGCATCTGTGTTCTCAGTTCTGTAGATGGGGTAACTTGGATGTCTGTATTCTCAGTTCTGTATGTGATAACTTGGGCATCTGTATTCTCAGGTCTATAGACGTGATGACTTGAACATCTGTATTCTCAGGTCTGTAGATGTGATGACTTGGGCATCTGTATTCTCAGTTCTGTAGACGTGGTGACTTGGGCATCTGTGTTCTCAGTTCTGTAGACATGGTGACTTGGGCATCTGTATTCTCAGTTCTGTAGACATGGTGACTTGGGCATCTGTGTTCTCAGTTCTGTAGACGTGGTGACTTGGGCATGTGTTTTCTCAGTTCTATAAGTGTGGTAACTTGCATATCTGTATTCCCAGTTCTGTAGCCGTGATGACTACAGTTACTGAAATTTCAAGTATACTTCCAATTTCAAAAATTCTGCTCTACATTTGCCAAGTTTTTCACACTGAAAAGAAGCTCACAATATAGGCAGGATCAATAAAACTAGCTCCATCAATTGATTTTGGTTTTGGTCTATAAAAATGATCTTTTTCCCCTCCACTGAATTTTTCAGTTGTTCTTTAATGTCACGTAACTAATATTTGTAAGACACAGTAGTTTTAACTGATGGATAGAAAAATATAAGTCTTTTTTATAAAATGACAAGCAGAGATCATTATTATGAAGGAAACACATACTCATTGTAGTACATTCTGGAAATACAAATAAGCAAGGGATATCACCCAGAGATAATAATTGTTAAACTTTTATTGTACATCCTTTTCATGGTAGAAGTATTTTCAATTAACCTGTGCCTTTTAGTTCATGTCTTGAATGAATGAGACAAGGCAGACACAAATATCTGTGACTATTCGAAATACTCTGGTTTGAAACATCTAACTCTTAGAATTTATTAAAAATCCTCGCATCAGAAGTTGTTTTCATTCACTTCAGTGGATATAAGTGTTTTCTGTTTTTCTTTGGGAGTCAGCCTAACATTCAAACATACTTTATCCAATTGACATTTGATTTAAAGCAAAACAAAACAAAAAAATAGGTACCAGGTCTTACCCTAATAACCTACCCTTGAGTCACATAAACCTCCATTTATGATCTCAGTAGAGCAGACTGTAAAAGCCAATTCCAGGGATATGTTAGCAATCAGTATGCTCAGGAAATTGGAGAATGAGGCTCAGTCCTCGGCTGCCCTGATTCTTAGACCCATTCCTTTTACGTTTCAGATCTGCTTCAGATCCATGTGTACATTTTACGTGGAGCTATTTTTTCTAAAACACTGCAATAAAATCAACACATGGTTTTATAAAGGATGGCATCTTAGAATTGAGAAAAGGGAATTGTCATCAGTTTCAACAATGTATTCACCTCATGCCACAGGAAATTTCTAAATGTGTGTTTTCTGTACAGACTTTTGGAAAAGACAAGAATTGTGTTTAAAAATTTATTTTTTGTTGCTGTTGCCCTGAGATACTGTTTGAGGCATCAGAGTGGAGGAGTGAAGCCAGATAAATCTGGCTTCAAGTCTCCATTCTGCCATTTGTTAACCTTCTTTTCTTTCATACAACACTCCTTCTGCCATTTGTTAACTATTACGTATAATTTTGGGTAGGCTGCTCAATTCTGCAAATCTCAGTTCTCCATTTACAAATTGGAGAAGATGGTGAGGTTGTGAGGACTAAATAAGGTAACACACACAAAGGAACCCATCAAGCTATTGGAACATGCATTCTCTTCCTTTTTTGCTAATTTCTCCTTTAACAACTTCCTTTTAAAAAATGCCTTTGCCGTTTAATTCATTTTGATGTTTTGTATTTATAATGCAAGCAGACTGTGAAAACTGTACCGTGAAACTAAAAACTAAATTCTCCACTGGAATTCAGTAGTTTGGAAAGCCTAGAAAATATATCTGGAAATAGGAATGTCTCATTTTTCCTAAGTTGATAATTGTGGTCATTCTGTGTGTGGACATGCAACTCTCTTTAACTTAATGGTGTGTGAAGCCAGCACTAGTTTTATAGCACCATATTTACATTGTAACTTTAAAAACTTAGTTATTTTAATTAGCTCAAAAAGATACTAGCCCCCCCCCCCCAAAAAAAAAGCCGCAGAAACAAACGTGACCATTTTAACTTAAAAAAGTTTGCAGTATACCCACATGACCAACTGATTACAGATTTTGGTATGAACATTTGTTATAAAACATTTCTGGTCTATAATTCACGTTCCTTTTTAGTTCATCCCAATGATGAACTTAAGATTTGTAAAGTGGGACTTCCCTGGTGATCCAGTGATAAAGGACCTGAGCCTGACTCTGCACTTCATTGCAGGGAACCTGGGTTCGATCCCTGGTCAGGAAGCCTAGATCCCACATGCTGGGCAGCGTGGCCAAAAAATAAAAATATAAAAATAAAAGCTTGAACACTTTACTTAAAAAGAAAAGATTTGTAAAGCCTTCCTGTTCCCACTAGAGAAATGGTGAATGGAGGTCTTTGTGTTTGTGCTCTCAGGTTTTGAGTTCAGAGTTCTTTAAATCCTATACGTCTCACCAGTGGTGGAGTTTCTGTTGCACATTTGTGAATGAGTCCTGTGCTAGTGCAGAAGTCAGGGGTCGTATCTGAAGTAGCATGCACATTTTGCGGTAATTCAGCAAGGAGGTCTGCACAAGTCCGGGTACATTGCATGCCCAGAAGGAAAGGTGGCATCGGTGCATGCCTTGCATTCTTCCAGCCAGAGGACTGTTAGTATAGATATTGCATGTTTAAAAATTGAACACAGAATATGGCATGTTTCAATTTTTAAAAAGCCATTTATTTATCAAGTATGCATGTCCAAAATTAGGGACCTATAATGATGTGCATTTTTGTACTGCAGTATGACCCACAGTACCCCAAAATTTAATAATCCATAATGTACTTAATCATAAAGTTCAAGTGAACCTGGATGCAGTTGTGAATATAGCAGGGTATTCTAAGTGTACCTGTTAAGAAGGCTTTCATAATTTCAAAGATATACTGTTTGAGCAAACTGGGCTTGGTATATTTAGTAAATAAATCAGACAAAGAAGTACGTTTTCAAACATTATAATTCTTTTTGGTGATGATAAAATGACAAAGCTTTTTTTCTGAAAGAGAGCATCTTCTCTTTGAAGAGGTCATATCAACTTGACAGAATACTCAGAAATGATTCTGCTTGGAGGTGGTAAATATAATTTTTTTCAATCGCTATTATAGCACACGTGCCATTTCATTGAATGCCAACCTCAGTAGAGCCATAACTTATTACTGGTTTTTCAAGATGTTTTCTTTCCACTCAAGTGTTCTCTAGAAAGGGAACTAACAGTCGCCTTAAAATAAAATTTAAACTTATCCATATAACTTAGGATAATAGGAGAGGCCCTTCTCTTAGAGAATGAGAAAATGGTATTTGGGAATTAGCTCTGTACAGGACCATATTGGGAAAACAAATCAAATTTTTTTTCTTGTCATACTATTGAGGTAGAATGTATGTGTCTAGAGAAACTGCCGCTTCTGTGTGGCTAAGATCATCCTCTCACACCCATTTTTAGTAAACAAATGTTACCACATGGCATACAGTGCTGCCAACAATCTATGACTTAACACAGCACACACTGACTTCAGAAGTTAGATCCTAAAGTCACACTTGCCTTTGACCAATCCAGTAGTCAGGCAAGCTCTTAGTTATCTGACAATAAAGAGAAACATATTCTTTAGCTTAGAACCTCTTTCCCAGGTCCCCATTTGCATCAGGTGGCCATATTCATTCAAAAGCCAAGGCAAATTTTTATATTAAAAAATTTCAACTGAAAACAGTCATCAACAAATAATTTGCTGTGAACTTTCCCTGACTCTATTTATAGCAATTTAAATTTGTTTACCACAACACATTTGATAAACAGAATGAAGTACCTTATTGGTATTGCACCCTGGTGCTGTCTACCCAGGGGAAAGGGAGTGGGGGCGGGGGGGGGGGTGCGGCGGGAAGTGACCCAAACATCTTTCAAAGCTACAATATGGAATGGGAGGAAAGTAAGCAATTCTGAAAATCAGAAAGACTGAACAATACCTGGGCAAAATCAGAGTTGTGCAGGGGAGCCCATCAGGTTCAAGATAGCTCAGGATCTTGATTCTGTGAGCAAAGCAAGAACTCATGCCCTAGGTATATCAAAAACTAATGAACAAATGTGTGTGCAGTCTCCCTAGTTTGCATCCTGTGGAATCACAGGGCATTCATGGGGGTCGACCAGGCTAAAAAGAAAGTTATTTGATCAATTAACTTTTTCTAGAAGGAGCAATTTATTGTTAGACTTGATTTAATGCTTTCAACTTTGGTTTTGCTTTGTGTTTAGAGCTCTTGATATAGAGGAGAGTTTCAGGAAGGCTGCAGTCTTCCTCTTGAATATTTTCCCCAGCAATTTCACAGGAGTTTCCTTAGCCATCAGTCCTCAGAAGGGTTTTTGTCTTGGCTTTTCACTTCCTGGGGAAATGGCCACACCCTTTCCTTTATCTGGTGACAATTTCACTCTATAGTTACCACCTGGTATTTTGTTTTGTTTCTCTTCCAGAGTGAAAGAATTGAAAAAGGCCAAGGAACTTGAAGACATACAACAGCATCCCTTAGCAATGTGACACTGCTTTTCAGACTGTTTTCATTTCTGTTTTTAGCAGAGACATGCAACAACACGCACATGCACACACACACACACACACACACATACACATACATAATCCCTCTGCAGTTTTGGGGAGATCAGCTGCAGGATTTTAACAGGAATGTTTTGGTCATTGCATTTGCACTTTCATGGACAACTTTTAATTTGATCAGCAAGACATCTTGGAACTCAATCTTCTGTTGGATCATGGGCAAACAAGACACCACGAGGAATCGAAAGAGGCTTTCCTCCTCTTAGGAAGAAGCCGTCTTCCTTCTCACATAGGGCTGTATTCAAACATCGTGTGGAACTGTACAAATATTTATACCAAAAATATAGATAAGAAAAGGTGGGGATGCACTAGCAACGAAGAGAATGCTGTTCCTGCACCTGTCGGTTATTTCCAAGAAGCTGAATTTTTGGGATTGATTCTCAGTGGAGGGCTTAGATCTTACAAATCTTTATTGGGTCCGTGTGTTCTCATTTCCTTCACTGTGTTTATTTGATCTTAATTTGTCTGTTTGCGTTTCAATCTCTACAGCACACTTAATGCAACTTTTAAAAATCTGCAGGTTTTTAGTGTTTTGTGGAAGTTTGCAGAGGGGGCGGGTGCGTGGTACACGGGTAATGCATGGGAAGTGATGAGGAACAGCGTACAGTTTAAATTTATTTTCTTGTCCCCACCACCTCCCAAGAACCTGCGAGGAAAGTCATCATCTTATCCCTTTTCTCATGTTCAGCACTTTAATTTTTTTGCCTTACTTTCTTGTGCAATGAGAATTACTTAGAGAGTTGGTAAAGCATGTAGCTTTTTTTAGTAGCCTTGGAAACTGTAGTCATTCTAAGGAATCATGAACCTTGCCTGGACATTTGCCACCTAAAAGATCAGTGTGGTGCTGCGTTCTGGCCAGTAAATTCCATATTTTTGGCTATATCTCATCCAACCTGAGCAGTTTCTGTGTATATATAGAAGGTAGAAATGGAAAGTGAGAAAATATTTGAAAGGGATTATATTAATTGCTAAATATTTTATTCACAAAGGTCAATAACATGGCAAGATAAAATTATTTGTATAGTTTTGTCTGAATGAGCGAGAAAAAAAATGTGGATGTATTGTTTGTATATATTGTATATATTAAAACAAAGAGATATGTGCATGAAATCAAGAAAAAAGAAATGAAAAAAGCAAAGCATTAGTGGCTATGGTCTGTAAAATGAAAAAAAAAAAACTTTATTTCACTATAAGAGTACTTTATTTTAAATGTTCTTTAGAAGAACATTTTGCTAAAGCATGACTAAACTGCAAAAAAAAAAAAAGAGCTACTGTATTAAGACTTAGGAAAAAAGGCAGAGTAACATTACTTAAAAAAGGATATGTTTACATTTAATTTTGGCTACCAGGAGTTTATTTTATTTTATTTAAAAGATTTTTTTGCCAATGGTGCCAAGTAATGTGAATGCTGATATTGCTTAAGAAAATTAAGTTACTTTTGCTAAACAGATAATCATTAAGATGAATCAGTATATAGCTTAACACCATCCACTCACTCCAACAAAGAACACTTAGAATGGTCAAAACATGACAAAAGAAATAGGATGAAAAATAGAAAAATATCTCACGTTTTCATATCTCCTGCTGGAAATCAGAAAATGTAATGAAAATTGCACACAAAATAACTACAAATTAAAAGGATGCAAACTGGTCTCGTAGGAATGTCATGGTATATTACTATTTCCACATAATGAGGAGCCAAAGAAATCTGATGCTTTTTAACAATTCAACTACTAATGTTAAATTGAGAGAATCAAGTTCGCACTTGCTGATGCCAGTTTAAAATTCCCAGGTTAAGTTTCAGGATCAGTTGGTGTAAAGCTGAGAGAATAGTTTTGGTATTTTTTTTTCCCTTGGTTCTGGCTGCCAACTGTAAGTGAAAACTCAAGGCTTGTTGTGAAGCCTAAAAATATTCACAAATCAGCTTTTAAACTGGTGTCTTAGAAGGAAGGTAGATACAAAAAGTTGTGGTAACAACTGGGGTCAGTGCTCTTGGTGCCTTTTCTATAATTGTACTTGTTTTTTAATTACTTCCTTTCACTGCCAACCTCGAATTACTGTACAGTATATGTCTTACTGCTTGTGATCAGCTTTGACAACGGTGACAGCCCCACAGCTAGCAGCCACCTGTACATTTGTAAACTGACCTGACTCAATTTTGTTTTTAAATGTGTGGGTTTTGTTGCAACTGTTGCAGTTCCCCCAAATACCCATTATTTTCCCACAATTTGACCTACAAGAGGACACTGAGTAATTTACAAACACACAATTGCATTCATCAATGGGAAGAGAATGTGAAAGCCAGCTCTTTCAGAATATCCTTTAGTAATACTGAATTTAGGTACGTTTATTCCATTGTGGTACAAATAGCCAGTCTTTTGACAGGAGTAATGACCTCAGTGGATTTGCTTTAACCCTCACTTTTTTTTTTTTAATGTCTCACATGCTACATTATTAACTGAGTAAGCTAGATAATCTGGAAGATAAAAGACTGACATAGAGTTAGGAGCGTTCTTACAGAGAGGATAGAAGTAGGTTCAAAACCTACCAGTGTCATCTACCAGTACAACTGTGAATCCCAGGTGAGGTACAAATGCACTTCCACTGAAATGAAACATTTTTGACCGCTTTTTCTTGGTTGTGAATCTTAATTTTGAATATAAGATGATAGGTAAGCGCAGCTTTCTTGGATAATCTGAATTCCCAAGTGCCAGGAGTAGGATTTCATTATAAAATTAATAGCTAATCTTATTCTGTCTCCTGATGATTTAATTGCTACACTTGTTACCCATTTGAAATCAGCTGTACTGTGTGAACGAAATCGAGACAATAACTCGAACCCCTCTCTGGCTGCACGGTCGCTTATGGCAGTTCCACACAGTAGTTGGCGCCCAATGGGGGGTCCCTGAGACTTGCATGTAAAACTAGTCTAGATGTCTTCTTTTTTGTAAGTTTTATTTTTGTAATTGTGCATGTAAAGCATCATTGAATCAATGGATCTGTTGAAGAACTCAGCTGCTGGAAACCATGCAAAATGTTTTGAATTGCCCTTAAAATATGGAAAATGTTTTCTGAATGCTTTATATTCTTTCTGCTGTAAATTAAAAATGAAGAAAATTTCCCCATACTATGTGTGTGTTGCTTTAATTTCACCTGATACTGAAATCCAAGGTGATCAGCAGGTTTTAAACCTTACAAAATAATTTCAAATAGTTCCTTCTATCTTGATGCAGTGTTTTGACATGGAATGCTACATAGTTTCAGGTCTGTCCAGGAAAGAGGACATTTCTTGATAGAGCCACTGTTCCTAGAACACTTGCTCCTCCACTATTGGATTCAAGGAGGATCTCAAAGAGCTTTAGATTATGTGTATATTATATCTATCAATATTCAATGTCATTGAGTTATTGATATACCTTCTCAGGCACCTCTCAGCCTAAGTGTACTTACGGAAAGATAAAAATGTGGATCAAAATTCATCTTTTCAGTTAAAATCCTCTGATGTTTTTAAAAATGCACCTTTCAGCTGACTACTAAGCCCAGCCTTCTTTCCCGGAACCCTGGCATCAGTCTCCTTCCCTTTCACTGCAGAAACTCAACTCCATGGTGGTCCCTCTTCCCTCTAAACCATTCTGGAGCTGCTGTCAGACAAGTTTTGCATGATAGATCTCCCAGTTTCATGAAGCCTCAGTGATTTCTAGAGCCGGCCGCACTGAAATGACATTTTCCTTTGTTTATTTTCACTCTCAACTCAGTCTTATTTTCATCTGTGCCCCAACCTGCACCCTCTGGTTGGTCTGTTCAAACCTTGTCCAGGTCCACTGTTTCTTGGTTCATGATTTGTTCCTCCCATGCCTGGAAAGTTCTCTCATTACCTACTTAACCCTATCCGAATTTCACCTCTGTGACACTCTCTTATTCTAACATACAATAATATTTTCTTTTTCAAATCACATTTAGAGTTGGAAAAGACAGTTTGATGTTATTTTTTTTTCATTTCTCACCTTTTCTGCCAGTTGACCTACTGGTGTTCTGTTTAACGCTGCAGTTGCCTTTGCTGGTGGGAACGCTTTTACTACAACTGAAATTCCTTGCACAGTAAATCACTACATTCAGATTTGTGCCTCAGCCTCAACCGGAAATTCAGAAGTTGAGGACCTGTAAAGGTAGAAAGTACAGTCCCTGATATCAAGAATTCCATGAAGAGATTATATTAATAATAAGGTCTGTGCAATGACAGACATTTGTGTCACAAATGAACACACGAAAAGGAAACCTAACCCAATCAACGCCTGTAACAAATACTACGAATGAACCTCCTCTCCCATTTTAACAAGTTTCTTGCGAATATGTGGTGTCTCCAGGACCACAGGGTTAATGTGGAACTTTAAGCAGAAGCCCAAGGGCTGTCTCCAATGCTGTCAACGGTCAGAGGAATAACTCACGGTCCCAGAATAACGTAAAACGCCCACACCCTCATTTATCTCCGTGGTGCCTTTTCTCGTGCCCCAGGTCAGCACTGGCGGGGACACCGACAGCCAGCAGTCGCCCAGCAACCGGCCGCAGCGCTCGGTGGGGGGAGCCGCCCCTAACACACCCCGCCCCCTTCCGGCGCGACCCTCGCGGCCTCGCGCGTCCGGCTCACCCCGTCAGCCCCTCCCGGTGACGTCATCGCCCCTGCGCCGCCGGCGCCCCGCCCAGGTCCCCGGCCCCAGGTTCCGCAGTGTCAGTCAGCCGATTCTGAGACGCTAGCTGCCTCCGCCGCCAAAATGTGAGTGACAGGACGCGACGCGGAGGGCCCTCGGGTCCGGGGGACCGCGGCCAGCGCCTGGGACCCCTGCCCGGCCCGATTCCCGCCTGCCGCTCCTCGGACGCGGGTGCTCTCCGCGCGGCTGTGCGCGGGGGCTCCCAAGGCCTAGGGTTGGGCGGTGGCCCCCGGGGGTGCGGGCTGCATACGGGCCAGGTCGGCACTGCGGCGCCGCAGGCCGCGCTGGAGGGCCCCGCGGCCGTCGGCCGGACGCGGAAGGGGTGAGGGCGGGGCGGCCGGGGGTTCCCAGAGGTAGGGAGAATTCCACCGCCACCCCTGCTTCGCCTCCGACCCCCTTCCCCTTCTTCCCCTCCTTGCCCCCCAAGTTCACTGAGGGGTACTGTGACCACTGCCCTCGTCCTGGAGCGCCTGCTCCCCGCCTGGTGTTGGGCTGGACTCCGGAAGTTGCAAGGGGAAGAAGGACCTCCGCCCCGTCTTGAAGCACCTGTGGTCTTAGAGGGCTCAGGCGCAGAACCGTGGGCCTTCTCCTTTTAAACAGAAGCATTCTTGTAATGGCCCTTGAAAACAGGAATTTCCCGTGGTAACATTTCAGAGAATGCTAAGGGTCAGAAATCACAAGGACCGCCTCAAACTGCTCGTCGCTCACCTACAGAGGAGAAAGGAATGGGTGCTTTCCCACGGTTCCTCCCGGAACGAGGGACACCCCTCCTCTGGAGGGTTCCTGCTTGAGGCTGCTGTGCCAGCTGATCGCAGCAGTTAAAATCTAGATCCGTAGAATTATACAGAACCTGGTCTAAACACAGGCTCCAGTGCAGCCGGTGGTGTCGACTTTCTAAACCTTACTTTAGTTTTCTGTAAAATGAGAATAGTAGTAGTGTCCCCCTCAAAGAGTTTTGAGGACTAAATGAGAAAATGCTTGCAGCAAATGCATAGTACATGACCCTTTATTGTTATCTATCAGAAAATAAACTGAGGGCCTGGTGGGGTCTGCTGCATCCCTGACCTTTGACACATGGTAGGTATAAAATAACTGTCTGTTGAATCAATGAATCAGTGGGTGTTGTAGGAAAGACACAGGGAAGAGACCTCTCTAAGACACAGGAAGGATCTTCAGGCGAAGGCAAGGCTGTAGGCAAGACTGATATATAGGTATCTCTGAAAAATCAAAAGTATTGCCAACCAGGTCATGGAAGCAATTAGGACTTCCAAGCCAGAGTGCTCAAAAAAGATCTGTCTGGGGGAAAAGTAAAGCATTCAATGAGGATTTTAAAAGAAGTATCTTTCAAGAGAGGGAGCCTTGCTTCATCTTATCTTTGCCACTCACACCACCCCCACTCCCTGTATCCTAGTGTTCCTGACTCTCTTTCTCTAAGTGAGTCTATTTCTCTATACTGGAAAAAGGGTGTTCTGTAATTGTTCATCACTCTAAAGAACTGTCTTCAGTTCATGGAGAATCCCATGGACTCAGGAGTCTGGTGGGCTACAGTCCATGGGGTCACAGAGTCAGACACCATTGAATGACTAACACTTTGACTTTCATGTGAGGATCAGATGCTTCAGTGATACAAAGGAGAACCTATTAAACCTTCACTTTAGACCTCGGTCACTTTTAACATGTGGGTGAATCTTTGAAATTTTAGAGGAATTATAAGAGATGTCTTTAGAACCTTTGTTAACTGCTGCAGAAAGGATGTTCATTTTCAGCTTTAGTTCTGAAATTTCTAACACTGAGAGTCCTGGAAAATATCCACATACTTAACAGAAATGTGTTTGGAATCCTAACTTACTCTTGCCTGTCTTTACATGTTTTAGGACTACAAGTGCACCGGCAGGTTCAAGCGCTGCTGCTGGCAGTAGTAGAAGACTTCAGCAGACACAAAATCAAGTGGATGAGGTATTTCTCTGAAATGTTGAAAATCTGAATTAGAAGCCAACATGAGAACACTCTGGGAATAGTTCTGTTTAGGAAAAGTATCATAGAAGTGTGAACGTAAAGTAAATTTGGACTATCCTAACTGTAGCAAAAATCTGACCCCTACTGTTTTGGGAGCTCTTTTCTAAGCTTCTGAGAAGTCACATCCTCCTGGTTTCAGGCCTGTTTTCCTTAAACCGAATCACACACCTAAAGTACAGGCTCTTCTCCCTGAGGACATTCTTCCCAAGAATCACTTGGTGATGTATATTTTGCCACAATAAATTAAACATTAGAGAAGAAATAAGAACTGCTTTATAAAATAATAAAATTTTAAGGATGAGGTCTATAGGTTGCAGAAGCTCAGATGAATCCTTCTGAACAAATTTTTCATCAGGATGCTTTTTACCAGTTACCCAGCCCAGCAAATTTCTGTCTGTTGCCATCCAGTGCTGTGCAGGAGGTGGGTGCTGGCAAACTGCTCTAACCCAGCAGATCTGTGTTTGTGGCAATGTTAGGTTGGGAGGCCCTCAGAGCATCTTTTCTTTTGCCCTCTACATGCAGACCTACAGTGGAAGACTATTTGAGAAATTCAGGCTCGTATTTCCTTAGTCCTAAAAGCCATCATAGCCGAGCAAGGCTGTCTTGGTCTTTCTGCATTTACCTATCTTAAAAAGCAGACTTAAACTAATGTTAGATCCCATTGTTAAGTCTTATGGCAATATTTTGTTCTGATGGTTTTGTTTATGAACTAAATTCTGAATTTTTTACAGTTTCATGCTAAGAAACCCATTCTAATTCCATCTTCCATGAAACTTCTGTTTACTTATGAACTCAAATTGGGTCCTTTTTCTTTTTTTTTTTTTTACATTTTTAAAAATTAATTTATTTTTTGTTGAAGGATAACTGCTTTACAGAATTTTGTTGTTTTCTGTCAAACCTCAACATGAATTAGCCAAAGGTATACACATATCCCCTCCCTCCCCTTGGTACTTTTTCTTTACCAGGGAATTTTGTTTTGTTTTTAACTGAAGTGGAAATTTGCATAATAGCCACCTTAGAATGTGTAATTCGTGGCATGTGATGTATTCACAATGTGGAAATTTGCATAATAGCCGCCTTAGACTGTGTAATTCAGTGGCATGTGGTGTGTTCACAGTGCCCTGCGGCCATGCCTTTTGTCTAGCTCCAGTTTCTTCCTCACCCCTGAAGAACACCTTGTAGGCATTTAGTAATCACTTCCCATTCCCTCTTCCTCCAGAGTGGTAGCCTCTAATTGACTTTCTGTTTCTATGGTTTTGCCTGTGCTGGATATATCATATAAAAGGGATAATACAATGCGTGGCCTTTGTGTCAGGCTTCTTGAACTTAGCATCATTTGTTCGATATTCATCTCTGTTGTAGCGTCTGTCAGTACACCATTCCTTTTTGTAGCTGCATAGTATTCCATTGCAGATGGATACCTCAGTTTATCCATTTGTCTGTTGATAGATTTTTGAGTTGTTTTCCCCCTTTGGCTGTTATGAATCATGTTACTATAAACATTTGCACGTGAGCTTCTATGTGGACATCTATTTTCATTTCTCTTGCTTATGTATCTAAGGGCTTCCCTGGTGGCTCAGTGGTAAAGAATCTGCCTGCAATGGAGGAGATTACCTGCAATTCAAGAGATGCAGGTTCCATCCTTCAGTAGGGAAGATCCCCTAGAGAAGGAAATGGCAACCAACTCCAGTATTCTTGCCTGGGAAGTTCATGGATGGAGGAGCCTGGTGACCTACAGTCCATGGGCTCACAAGAGTCATGTATACATGACTTAGTGACTAAACCACCACCATAGTGATGCTGTATTTAACTTTTTGAGGAACTGTCGCACTTTTCCACAGTGGCTACACTATTTTGCCTTTCCACTAGCCATGTCCAAGAGTTCCTATTTTTCCACATTATCACCAACACTTGTTATTTTCTACTATTTTGGTTATAGCCATCCTGAACTGATCCTAATGAGTATGGATTAGTAACTCTTTGTGGTTTTAATTTGCATTTCCTAGTGATCAGAGATGCTGAATATCTTCTCATGTGGTTGTTGGCTGTTTGTATAAATTCTTTGTAGAAATGTCTGTTCAAGACCATCACCAGTTTTTTAATTGGGTAGTCTGTTTTTAATGTTGGTTGATAAAGAGTTCCTTATATATTCTGGATGTTAAATCTTTGTCAGATATATGATTTGCAGATATTTTCTGCCATTCTGTGGATTGGCTTTTCGTATCCCTGATAATGTCTTTTGAAGCACAAAAGACTTTAATTTTTATGAAATTCAGAATATCTAGTTTTTTCCCTTGTTGCTCTTGCTTTTGGGGTCAAATCCACAGCCAAACCCAAAGTTGTAAAGAGTTATGTTTTCTTCTAAGAGTTTTATAGTTTTCAGCTCTATATTTGGGTCATTGATCCATTTTGAGTTAATTTGTGCACGTGAGGTAAGGTAAGGGTCCAACTTCATTCTTTCACATGTGGCTGTCCAAGCACCAAGTTTTGAAACTTAAAAGTATGACTCCTCCAATTTTGTTTTTCTTCTTCAATATTGTGTCGAGCATTCAAGGCCCCTTGGGATTCCATATGAATTTGAGGACTAGTTTTTACATTTAGGCAAAAAAAAAAAGCCATTGGAATTTTGATAGATTGAATTGAATCTATACATGTGTACATCACTAGGGGGAGTTTTGCCATCTTAACACTGTAAATTAAGTCTTTCAACCTATGAAAGTGGGATGTCTTCCCATTTCATTAGGTCTAGTTCCTTTTGGCAGTGTTTTGTAGTTTTCAGCGTGCAAGTCTTTGGCCTCCTTGGTTTAATTTATCCCTGGGTATTTTATTTTTGGGGGTGCTATTGTATGGAATTGTTTTCTTGATTTCCCTTTCTTTGCTAGTTATGGAAGCACACTAATTTATGGCTGTTGATCTTGTACCCTAAAACTACTGAGTTTGTTTACTAACTATAGTAGGGATTTTTGGTAGATTCTTTGGGATTTTCTGTACATGGAATCATCTGCAAACAGAGATCATTTTACTTTTCTAATTTGAAAGGAAAGTGAAAGTTGCTCAGTCGTTTATGACTCTTCGCGACCCCATGGACTGTACAGTTCATGGAATTCTTCAGGCCAGAATACTGAGGTGGGTAGCCGTTCCCTTCTCCAGGGGATCTTCCCAACCCACGGATCGAACCCAGGTCTCCTGCATTGCACACAGATTCTTTACCAGCTGAGACACAGGGAAGCCACCAGGAAGCTTTTCTAATTTGGATGCCTTTTAATTTCTTTTTCCTACCTGGCCAGAGCTTCCAGTACAATGTTGAACAGCAGTAGTGAAGGTGGGCCTCCTTGTCTTTCATCATTGAGCATGGATGTTAACTGTTTGTTTTCCACAGATACCCTGTAACATGTTAAGGAAGTTCCCTTCTATCCTAATTGGCTGAGTGTTTTTATCGTGAAACAGTCAACCCTTTTTTCTTTTTTTTTTAATGAAAGTTTGACTCAAAAGCGTAAAGAGCTGACCTGAAAAAAAAAAAAAATGCCAGTACACTTCATTGAGGAGTTGCATTTCTCCTTCCTTTCCTTGTACCTGAATGTGACCATATTCTTCAGGTGGTGGACATCATGAGAGTCAATGTGGATAAAGTGTTGGAAAGAGACCAGAAGCTCTCTGAGTTGGATGACCGTGCAGATGCGCTGCAGGCAGGAGCCTCCCAATTTGAAACAAGTGCTGCCAAGTTGAAGAGAAAATACTGGTGGAAGAATTGCAAGGTACTTCGCTTTTAACTGGTCTTTATATCAAGTCACTGTCTTGTCTCTGGGGGGGTAGACAAAGGCTACAAATACTGGACTTTGATGAGCCTTAGAGGTGAATCTGCCTTCCCAAACAGAAATTTGCATTAACTTTGAATCTAAAACTCTGACTACATATCGTTTTTCTGCCCCCACAATTGAGAATGCTCCATGCTTTGTGGCTGACCTTCAGAAGTTTGTAGAACCAGGCAGGTCCAGAATCAGTCACAGACAGCAACCCCTTCCAGCCCTTTACACAGACTGACAGGAGAGGGCTGGAACTGGAAGGTCAGTTTGCACACAGGTGCAAATGGCTCCAGGGTAAAAGGAAAGAGGTGCTGGAGAGCTGCAGCATGCTCCACAGAAAAGCAGGAAGCACCATATGAGGAGCAGGGCCCAAAGTGGGCTGCAGTCACATCCCTTCCTGGGTTGGAAGAGTGACACTTTCTGATACCTGACACAGGCTTAATCCATGTATCCACAGACATGCCTATCTAGGGACCATAAACCATTTGAACATGTTATAAAAAAGCAGATAGGTGAGCGTCAGCACCTATCTGAACATTAATAAGAACATTAAGTTTAGGCCTTAATAATTATGACTATTTGGGATGGGTGGGCACCTTAACTTCTCCTCTGTGACTAGAATGACACTAAATGGTACTCTTCAGTTGGCACGTTAATCTCTGGGTTTGAATTTGAAGTGGACATATATTTGGTTACAGATGTGGGCGATAGGAATCACCGTTGTGGTCATCATCATCATTATCATCGTCGGTGAGTTCTCCTGCTCCAAACTCATTGCAGAAAGTCTTGTCTGTTCACATTTGACTTCATGTACAAGAGCTCAGAATAAAAGTTCCCTTGGAGATGTTAATGTATCCCAAAGGTTTTCCTTTTCGTTAGTAAGTGTTGTAAATACTTGAGTGCTGAATCTGAGATTTTCAATATAAACATTATCCTGATCCATAAGTTTGATCTCTGAATATACTTTCATCAGATGTTTCCTTTCATGAGAAATAGTATAGCCGAGTGACGAAGAGCATGGACTACTTCTGATCACTCTACTTTACAATCCAGCTGTGTGGCCTTCAACAAGTAATTTCATATCTCTGAACCTCAATTTCCTCATTTATAAAATGGGGACAATAATACTACTACCTACCTCATATGTTTATTATGAGGACAAAGCTGTTAATATATAAAATGTGCTTAGAATGGTGCCTGGCATATAATAATAATAGTTATATAAAGAAACATATATACACCCACACTGTCATTAACACTATTATTATAACCATTACTGCTACTGTAGACAGTATCGGAACAGCCCATTGCCATTAGTAGCCCAGTACATGAGAACTATTTAAAGAAACATGTCTTGGATCCTTTCTTCAGCAGCCTCCTCTAATCTTCCACAAGATGTAGAGAAACCACTAGTAGGAAATTGGCCAGAAATTGAATTTCTGTTCACACTTAGACTGTAGTGTTTGGTGTTTATTCTGTGTTTGCACTGAAAGACTAAACAGCTATTCTCCCCACTCCCCCCCTCCTTTTTTTAATTTTCTCTGCTTACTAGTGTGGAGTATCTCTTCCTGAAGAACCAGTGAAACTCCAGCCTGCTGTTCAAGAAACCTCTTCAAGACTTTTGATTTAGAACCTGCTATATTATCAAGCTTGCCTACTGTTCTATCTAAAATGATTATTTTTCTGTTAGTGACTGTAAAGTTTGTTTCCTAGATGTGCCTTTGTTTTGTAATATGCACTCCAAACTAGAAGCTTGGTCAGCCCAGCCTCCATTTTGCACAGTGCCTTTTCAGATTTACAAGTGGGCTGATGGAGAGGACTTCTTTAGTTGCAGAGTGTTACAACCTAGCAGTAATGTTGTCTGGTTAATTGCCATTGACTGCAGTTAAGGAAATTTGTTCCAAGTTAACTGTCCTCATCATATGACATTACCCTCATTTTAAACCTCTGGGTAATCAGATTCCAATTTGTGCCTTCCAGAAAGAACACTACTGCCTAACACAAATCTGTGACAATAACAGGCTGTGCCTTATTTTGCTCTTTTTCTGATTCCCTATAGCAGAACTCTCTACTGTTTATAGACACTACTGACTCCTTTGCTGTATTTTAAAATAAGATACTGGTAAAGAGTTTTTGCTCTTACATTAGATATGAAGATGTTTACTTTCTTGTTACTGTTATGTATCACTTGCTAAAAATATTGTTTTAATCAGAAATAATAACCTCTTTAAAACATTTTTATAGAACGATGGCTGTGACCAAAGTTTCTGTCTTGCCAAAAAGTTAAATCCCAGTCAGACATCAAGTTTGTTCCTGACAGATAAATTCAGAAAAGTGACCAGTGGAACTCAAGGTTCCCTTCAGAATTAAACTTGTAATGTTTTGTGTGAACCTCTGACATCCTGGCAGGCCTTTCCTGCCCTTGAAAGGCTATAGATCTTGCAACTGCCCTTCCAATCTAGAATTTTTCCTGAGGTTTACAGAGGATTTGAGCTCGATACTGACCGTCTCCTACCCGTGGGCAGCATTTTACTCAGCAGTTTGCAGATTATCAACTGTAAGCTCCAGTATGTTTCTAATAATTATGTGAGCAGCAATTGTGTAGCCTTCACTTGAGACCATCTGTAGATGGGTCATTTTCTGGTCCAGTCCCCATGGACAACAGCTTCTTGGAGTTTGTTTCCATATTCCACTCCCTAAATCTGTCTTGTAAATTTCACTTTCTACTAGGCATTGGTCAGGGTAGATGACCCTCTTCCCAGGAGACAGCTAACAAGAGACATTTTCTTTGATGTCACAGAGTTTCTGCATGAGATGCTGCTTTGGGTAGAGGTGTTGTCAGCTGAGAGACTTTTGTTGCGTACGTGAGACTTTGGACACCAGGGTGAGTGACTTAAGGTCAAGAAGTCAGGTAGGAATGAAAACAGGCGAGGAGGCACCGAGGGGGAAAGAAGTCTTAGCACCCTGGGGCTCACTGTGACCAGAATGTTCACAAAGTCTCGTTCACATGCTACTTGGTAACGTACAAAGCGACAGCAGTTAAGGTGCATCAGGACCCGGGTTCCACTTCTTTAACATCTGTTCCCCTGACGTCAGTGCAATGGTATGAAGTTGAAGACGTGCCTTGCGGTGTGCCCTGCTGGGAGAAGGGGACAGCAGTCAGTGTCTGGACAGTGGCCCACCCTCGTCTCAGGTCTCTGCCAGGTCTGACTCTGCAGCTTTGGTGCTTGGTCCCGTGTAACCCACTGGCTGCTGCGTTAACCCAGGAATACCCCACCTGTATCTGTGTGTTTAGCTGGGAACTCACCTGCTATAATGAACTGAATAAAGTGTTTATAAACATAACTCTGGTGCCTTTGTCCCTGATAGAGGAGTAGCGCGTGGTCCAAGTCCTGAGAAACGGCGTTCCCTACTGCTCACCCCCCTCCCTTATAGACCCTGACTCCCCTTCCTCATTGCCTGAGGACCCTGATGTCCTCACACCCCACTCCCTGTGTAAAAAAGTGCTCTTCAGCTGAGGAGATGTTGGGGAACCGGCTTCCTTATGGTCACTGAAACACTTAGGATTTGGCTTTTGAGTTTCTTAAATAGATGGTCTTTCAGAAATGAGTTGTGCAGAGCTGGCCAGTATGTGTCGGATCAGACAGCTGCCCACGTGGGACGTGGGGAAGTTGACCCAGGTGGGGGATAGACATCTCCAAACTGTGTCTCTTGTTTTCATTCAGCATATCTCTTTCCCCTTGAATATACTTCCACACTTATTCTACAACCCCTACAGAACAATATAATATGGGTGGAAGGAGACTTGCTTATGTTTACAATGAAATGTCAGTTTTCAGTAGAATCCAGTGAAAAAGAGGTTGACTTCTTTCCATTGCCTCAGGTAGATAGTGACTGCATTTCTTGTCTGACAGGCAGTCATGTCCCTGGAAAAGCACTGAGAATTCTGCTTTTTGTTCAGGACCTTGAGAGAATGAAATACATGTGAACCCTTGGTATCATTTTCAAGATTTTAAAGGAAAATCTACCATAAATGGGCTCCTCTTTCACTGCTTATCCCTTAAATGTCAGGGTTCCTTAGGGTGGGTCCTCAGCCAAAGTCTCTTTTCATTCTACTTAACCACCTGCCTCCAGGCAATCTCTCTGCTCTTGATCTCTCCATTCATGAATCTGCTGATGATTCCTGGCCTATTGGATAGAAGCCTCTCAGACTCTGTTCACCAGACAAGGAAACTCTTCCTTCCTCACGCTCTTCCTGTCATTAACTGTCTGTTGCAGAGAAGGGCCCCATCACCCACCCAGGGGTCACTCCAGACACATCTGCTGGACTTGCTGGTATTTTTGGTCACCATCTGTTACCACTCAATGTGCTGAAAGTGTGCTGTGTAACAGACACCCCCGAAATCGCAATGGCTTCAAGTTTTTTCCTCGCTTGTGCTCTGTGTCCGATGCCAGTCAGCAGGAAGGCACTATCATCAGCTCCTGCAGACGGGGTGGGGAACTTCCTGTAAACATTCATTTTAGTTTATCACTGCAGAAGAAAGGAACCATCAGGAATTGTGCACTGGCTCTCAAAGCCCCCGTCTGGATATGGAGCCAGCAGCTCTGCTCACTTTCATCAACCAAAGTGACTTAGTTGACTGTGGCTCACCTCAGAGGTAGAAGGGAGTCCTACCTGTCACCCAAATGAGAAGTGGAACCTCTATGAACATCTTCCTCTGTGTTGACATTTCAGTCAAAGAATGTGGGCAGATTCCCCTGTCTTGTTTAGTCAGTTGTGTCCGACTTTGTGGCCCCCTGGACTACAGCATGCCAGGCTTCCCTGTCCTTCACTGTCTTCCATAGTTTATTCAAACTCATCTCCCTTGAGCTGATGATGCCATCCAACCATCTAGTCTAATGAGTTGTGTCCCCTACACAATAAGTCTACATTTACATCACAAATGAAATGTTTTTTAAAGTACGGTAGTTTTTTCACTGGTTTTGAATGAGGATTAATTATTTGCTTTAAAATTGACCAGGCTGCTTAGCTCATTTAAAAATAAGCAAACTTACTTCCAACTGAGCTGCTTTTCATAGTAGCAGAAAATTCAACCTGTAAAACTAGAATTTACTAAGTAAACCAATTATGGTATAATTATTATTAGGAAATATTTTTTTCCCCTCATCCTTTAAATAGCTAAGTGCATTTAGAAATCTACTTGGAGACCCAGAGGGATCGGGTGGAGAGGGAGGTGGGAGGGGGGACCGGGATGGGGAATACATGTAAATCCATGGCTAATTCATTTCAATGTATGACAAAAACCACTGCAATGTTGTAATTAGCCTCCAACTAATAAAAATAAATGGAAAAAAAATAAAAATAAAGAAATCTACTTGGCTCTATACAGTCACACGGACAATCCCCTGTTGGCAGAAGTGCCTGCCTCTGGGCAACGCTGTGGATTCCCAACCTCAGGAAGGACTTCTCTCCAGTCATTGCCTCTTAATCTGCAGCTCTTCCTTTCTGTGTCATTCACCTCCTACTGGATCATGCCATCACTTAATAGTGATCCCTGCATCCCTGCCTCCAGTCAACAAATGCTTGTCTATAGCTCTTCACAGCAAAATTCCTCCCTGTCTTCCTGTAGTCACCATCACACATACTCTTTCTCATCAGTCTACACCACTGAGACATCTGTAACCAAGGTCATCATCTTGGTGAAGGCCAACAGGAAATTCTCTGCCTTTGTCTCACCCTGCTTGTCACCAGCATTTGATACAGTTGCCAGCTGTCTCCTTGAAATGCTTCATTATGGAGCTTCCAGGACCCTACACTCCTGGCTTTCTTTTAGCCTTATCTATGGCTCCTTATTCTTTGCCTGACCTTATCTCCCTATGCCCTGAAGCTTGGCCTTTGGCCTTTCTCTGTCTGCACTCTGTCACTGACACCATTTCACCCACCACTGTGAACGCCAGAGGCTCTGATGACTCCCTTAAATGTAAGCTGTATCTCCACCCCTGGTTTCTCCCCTAAGCTCCCAGCTGGCAAATTCAATTGCCTACCTGACCACTCCACTTGGATGTATGACACATCTCAAACGTGGTGTGTAGAAAACAACTCTGTTCTCCATTAAAACCTGCAATCCCCAGACTTGCCTTCGGTAAATATTTGCTGAATAAATGCAGTTTAACAAAACAGGGCTTCAGAGGAGAGTGAATATCATTTGAAAAAATATGGTGGTTTATCTAATACCCAGGGTTCCCAGGTGATGCTAATGGTAAAGAATCTGCCTGCCCATGCAGAAGCCAGAGGAGACGGTGGGTCATCCCTGGGTGAGGAAGATACCCTGGAAAAGTGGCAACCCACTCCAGGATTCTTGCCGGGATAATCCCAAGGACAGAGGAGCCTGGAGGGCTACAGTCCATGGGGTTGCAGAGTCGGACACGACTGAGTCACTGTACATGCACACATGCATTCAATACCTAATATGGCCTGCCACATTCCGCTTTTCCCTCCTCTTTTATGCACAATTGCTTCAATTCATCCAACCAATACGGAAGATTTCTGTACCAGGCACTGCAGACACGCAGAATCTCTGCACAGCACCTTCCACTTCAGGTAAGTTGAGGCACAATTAAAAAGAGCCCTCTGTGTCTTTTAAAGGGCTTCTCTACACTTCCTCAGAGAAGGCAATGGTAACCCACTCCAGTTCTCCTGCCTGGAAAATCCCATGGACGGAGGAGCCTGGTAGGCTGTAGTCCATGGGTCGCTAACAGTCGGACACGGCTGAGCGACCTCACTTTCACTTTTCACTTTCATGCATTGAAGAAGGAAATAGCAAGCCACTCCAGTGTTCTTGCCTGGAGAATCCCAGGGATGGGGGAGCCTGGTGGGCTGCCGTCTATGGGGTCACACAGAGTCGGACATGACTGAAGCGACTTTGCAGCAGCTATACTTCCTTTCCAAAACAGTGTCTTTTACAAACACTTGTCTTTCTCCAGCTGCTAAATGAAATCTTTAACTTTAGGAAGACGAGGGAAATGTTTCAAGTTGTGAGAATTCCACTTCTGAAAACCAGGTTTGATCCTCCCAGCTCACTTAGTTTTGGCAGGAGTGAGAGCAAGAAGGTCGTTAACAAAGATGGAAACTTGAGAAGACACAAGGAAAGCGCTGCGCTAGAACGTCCAGCGCCCTCCTCCGGATGCCCAACCCGTCGGCAACACTCTCCGGACACCTGCTGGCGCTCCCTGGAGCAGCTGCCAGTCACGTGGAGGCTGGGCCGACCCCGCCCACCCTGCCGCTCGGGGGGGCCCGTCCCCTCGTGATTGGTGGCTCTGGTGCCCTATCACTGTCGCGCTCGCTCCAGCGGCCCCCGTGGCCCATCCCCCGACCCCGTAAGGGGGCGGGAACCAGGGCCTCCTCAGGGTCCCTCCGCCCCCTGCCTCCGCGCCGACCAGTAGGATTGGTCTTGTGCAGTCATCAGGCCGAACCCCCGGCGTTACGTAACGGACTCTGAGGCCTTTGCCCGTCGCTCCCTCGCCTCCGCTTCTGTAACCCGGACGCCTCGGCGCGGACCCCGCCCCCGGGCCAATGGGGACCCATAGAGCTGGCGGAGGCGGCCAATCGATGGCCCAGGGGGGCGGAGCCGTGTCACGTGGCGCGCGGGGGGTGTGGTGCCGGCGGTCGCCTGGCACGCGGCGGGCCTCGAGACCGCGCGGGGTGGGATCCGCTGGGTGAGCAGCGCCGGCGGCGGCGGGTGAGTGCTCGGCCCGGGTGGGGTGGGCTCGGAGCCCGCCGGCCGCGGTCTCCCCAAGCCTGTCCTGCGCTGTGAGAACTTTGCGCTTCAAGAGGCTTCTTGCTCCGTCCTGTTCCTGGGTGCGCGGCGATTATTGGGGCTGCCGGGGCCGCGGTCTCCCCCAGGGCTGCCCACCCCAGGAGCCACAGCCGGGCTTCCGGAATCAAATTGTTTCTGTTGACACTTGTCACTTTTATTTTCATCCTCCCCCTCCAGGATGGATCTTCGGTGGGCGGAGACATCCAAAATTGCAGGGAAGTACTGGGGAGAAAAGTGCCCCCGGAGGAGAGGAGTAATTGCCCGCTAATGACTGACATCTCTAAGGCGATGGCATGGACCACAATGAGAAATACGGTTCGGTGGCCGATTGCAAAGTAGCAAAGAGCAGGCGACTGACTGAGGGCTGCTGTGCGAAGATGAATCCCTGTGAAGATGTAGAAAGGTCTAGTGGTAAATCTCAGAACCCCAGGGGGAATCAGCGTCATGAAGGACCACAGGCCAGTGGTCCTGAGGCCCCCGGGAATGATGCTGCTGAGCTCTGGAGCCAGAAATTCGAGATGCGGAGCAAATTCGTGCAGACCAGCAACAGGTGACATGAACTGATGTGTTTGTTGTTCTTTGCTGGGTCAGTAGAAGGGAAAGACGGGCTTCCATCTTTTTGCATTTTGTTTGCAAGCCTAGGAAAAAAGTTTACCGGAGTCTCCAGCAGCTTGGAATGAAATACCTTGGAGACACTGAAGGAAATTAACTATATAAGTAGGTTAAAGGTGGTTAGGGAATTGCTGACTCTAGGCTGAAGTGGGACTCAAACAGTAGAAAAGGTTTGATGTTTACCAATTTCTTGACCTGTGATTCCCCACATGTAAAAAGGGGATAATAAATCTGTGAACTGAATGAGCTGATTCATGTTAAGTGCTCAGAAAGCAGGCCTGGCCCGAAATACACTGTTCAGTGAAAGTTGACCTATTGTAATCCAAAGTGTGAATTTAGAAAAAAAAATTTTTTTGTATCTTACAGTGAACAGCAAGATCGAAACAGAGTTTCTGAAGAACTTATAATGGTTGTCCAAGAAATGAAAAACTACTTCCCATCGGAAAGACGTGGTAAACCAAGCGCTCTGGATGCCCTTACCTACGCCCTTCGCTGTGTGCGCAGTGTACAAGGTGAATGGGCTATGCTGAGAATACAGTCTTGCACACACATCACTGCTCACAAATGGCAGCCAGGCCAGAAGCATTGTCTGCTTGGTTTTGCGCCCAGAAGTGTTTTGAGTTTTTTATGCTGTTCTCTGTGAGATGAGTAAATCTACACTGATGCCCCTGGCATCTTAGTTTTTCAAATTAGCACTGTGTGCATGCGCTTCAGTCGTGTCTGACTCTTTGCGACCCCTGGCGCCTCTGCCAGGTGCCTCTGTCCATGGGATTCTCCAGTCAAGAATACTGGATTGGGTTGCCACGCCCATCTCCAGGGGATCTTCCCACCCCAGGCATCGAATCTGCGTCTCCTGCTTGGCAGGTGGATTCTTTACCACAGAGCCATCCAGGAAGCCCTATTTGTGTAGTAGTTTAGTATTTTTGTTGCAGTATTTTGCATTTTTATTTCTATTTCGGGAGAATAAGAGTTTGGCATAACCACATTTTGGAAATTCACTTTTTAAAGGAATATTGTCTTCTATGATTATTGAGGGGAAAATACATTTACATTTCCCTGTCATAGACATACTTTTAAAATGCAGTCATGTCATGTCAGAAATTTACCAAATTAAAATGCAATGGTTGTAAACACCTTTTCTTTTGACAATTTTCTTCTCAAGGGATTTTAAAAGTGCACGTTCTGTAGCACAAACCTCTGTGGCTTCATAGATGATATAGATGATATATAATTCCTGAATACTGGAGTAGTGTTTCTGCTATGCAAATCCCCTCTGTGTATATTGAGAATTTTTGGTTTCGGTACCTTGTTTTGGTACTTTAAGTTTATCTCGTTCCCTATGAACCAGAACATGCCAAATTCATAAATTCAGAATCTTAAGTTTATACACCTGTTAGTGTTTTAGGTGAAAGAAAAAACTGATCTTTCAAGGAAAATCTTTCGAGGTGCCCTTATCCTAAAAAAATTTGCCAACTTTAATTGTGATGAAAATGACTTCCTAAAGATATTGTTGTGAAACAGCCTACCTATCTATTTTCCTGTGTTTCTTAGCAAACAGTGAGTCTTTCCAGATTCTCAGTCAGAATGGGGCACCTCAAGCTGATATGACCTTGTGCAGTCTGGAGGAGCTGGCCACTATTGCTTCAGAGCACACTTCAAAAACACAGTAAGAATTCACAAGTTTTGCCATATCAGCCAGGGTGGTTTTTCCTAGGGACCTTATCTTGATGTAGAGTCTTAAAAGTGACAACTGAACATTTCCGTAACCACAGTTTGAGGTAAACAACTGGAGAAAACTGCTAATGAGGCATCTCAAGTTTCTCCTGTCCTTGACAAAGAAAACATCTGAAAACAGGAAGCAGCACATGAGTGTTAGTTGGCTTTGCTTTGGTTCTGGGGTGCCTCTCTCTCCTTAGCATCCCTGAGTTCTCCCAAATTAAGAAAAAGATAAAAGCAACACTGCAGAGTAATTTCCTGCATCGTATTCTAATCTCCAAATGTTGATTTCTATTTATATCAATCTTAGTTCCAATACCTACTACTCCAGGTTGTAACAACTGGATTTTATAAAGCAGGTAAGTTGAGATGATGTAATCTTTTGTAAAATTGTGAAAGAGTTATTTAGTATTTATCTTTTCATATGGACAGAATAGTTGAGGTTCATGTTTTGCTGACATGATGGGGAATACTTAATTTATGTGTAGTACGTGCATGCTAAGTCACTTCAGTCATGTCCGACTCTTTGTGACCCCTGTAGCCCACCAGGCTCCTCTGTCCATGGGGATCTCCAGTCAAGAATGCTGGAGTGGATTGCTATGCCCTCCTCCAGGGAATCTTCCTGATCCAGGGACTGAATCTGCATCTCTTATGATTCCTGCATTGGCTGTCAAGTTCTTTACCACTGTCACCATCTGGGAAGCCCAATTTTTGTGTAGACCTCAACATAATCAGTCCTGAATATTCATTGGAAGGACCAATGCTGAAGCTCCAATACTTTGGCCACCTGATGTGAAGAACCGACTCACTGGAGAAGACCCTGATTCTGAGAAAGACTGAGGGCAGGAGGAAAAGGGGACAAGAGAGGATGAGATGGTTGGATGGCATCACCGAGTAGATGGAACAAGAGTTTGAACAAGCTCCGGGAGTTGGTGATGGACAGGGAAGCCTGGCATGCTGCAGTCCTTGGGGTTGCAAAGAGTCAGACACAACTGAGCAACTGAACTGAACAATGTAATTGTAACTTAAAGATTTTATAATATTGGAGCACGAGATATCCCTAATGTTATGTGCTTGTTTTACTACTAATAACTAGTATGTTTATAGTATTGTAGTAAGTGCTATGGAGATTTAAGAAAAAAAGCTTTAGAAAAACATTTTCCTTTTAAGATCTTCAAATTAACACTAGAGAGGAAAACATATGCCAGTGCTAGCCAATACAGACTGTGGCTGATTATAAGCAGGCTATGTTTATGTCTAATGGAATGAATTAGAGAAACGATTCTTATGAGGTATGTCAAAGACACCATCTTGGAGCAAGTAAATCTAAAGCTTAATCTCGAAGCCTAGATATGTACAGGTGAAGGGAAGAACATCCTGTTAGGTATATAGCACAGTTTTCGAAGAAGAAGGAATCAAGTGAACACAGTATATAGTGTGAAAGGGAAACTGTTAGTCACTCTCAGTTGTGTCCAACTCTTTCTGACCCCATGGACTGTAGCCCGCCAGTATCCTCTGTCCATGGAATTCTCCAGGTAAGAACACTGGAGTGGGTTGCCATTCCTTTCTCCAAGGGATCTTCCTGACCCAGGGATTGAACCCAGGTCTCCTGCGTTGCAGGCAAACTCTTTACCGCCTGAGCCACCAGGGATTCACTGTTTAGTAGGTATAGAGTGAGCTGGTGTATCATTTGGCAGAACTTACTTCAGAAGGAAAAATGCAGGTTTTACAGTGATAACTAAGAAGTATGTTGGAGAATTTTGTTACCTTTGCCTGATGCATGTGTGTGTGCGTTTTAAGTTATTGATCATAGTAGACATCTAGATGAAATTTATTCAGGAAATGTTGCTAGTCATAATTCAACACTGTGCATTTATTTTGAATGTTTTTCATAGGATACCTTTGTGGCAGTGTTTTCATTTCTCTCTGGAAGGTTAATGCACGTTTCTGAGCAGGCGCCTTCGATCCTGAACTGTAAGAAAGAGTTCTTGGAGTCTTGTCGTTTTGTTGAACTGCTTGCCCCCCAAGACATGAGGGTGTTCTACATGCACACTGCCCATGCTCAGCTTCCGTTCTGGAATAAATGGACACAAAGAGGTAATGGGACCTATACGCAGATGTTTATCTCACCTGGTTAAGATCAGTTTCATTCTACCAAAAATAGTACACAAGTGAATGCATTATTCAGAATATGCAAATTGTATGGTTTTTCTTATTTATTTTTAAAAGGCAAAGTGTGATGAAAATCGTATTTTAAATGCTTATAATGACATAAAGGTCCAATAAATTTGCTTTCATTTAGTCAACTTAATTTCACAGATTATATGCTACAAATATGGTTTGATTACAGCATGCTATATAGCAGATTTGGACAAGGAAATGGCAACCCACTCCAGTATTCTTGCCTGGAGAATCCCATGGACGGAGGAGCCTGGTAGGCTACATTAGTCCATGGGTCGCAAAGAGTCGGACACGACTGAGTGACTTCACTTCACTATATAGCAGGTTAATTGCTACAAAGGCTCTGTTTCCTTCATGTGAATACAATTCAATGTTTATCCTACTACACTGACTTCATTATCTCTCTCTCTAGAGATAAGCTTCGCAAAGTTAGATCCCTTTCCAGTTTTTCTTCTCCTTAAAAGCTATGACTCCCAGCATTTTGTTTTCCTTCAGAAATGCTGCTTTGCCTGAACTGGGGAATGGGGGATGGATTTCTCCTCGCAGTTTTCTTTGTGATCTTCTGTCCCATGTCATCTTCCATGCATTCATTCATCCTTTCTCAGTTAGTTAGTTCAATCACTCAGTCATGTCTGACTCTCTGCAACCCCATGGACTGCAGCACGCCAGGCTTCCCTGTCCTTCACTGTCCCCCAGAGCTTGCTCAAACTTATGTCCATCAAGTCAGTGATGCCATCCAGCCATCTCATCCTGTGTTCTCCCCTTCTCCTCCTGCCTTTAGTCTTTCCCAACATCAGGGTCTTTTCCAGTGAGTCAGTTAGGTGCCCAAAGTATTAGGGCTTTAGCTGCACATTAGTTTTTGAATGTTGAGTTTTAAGCCAACTTTTTCACTCTCCTCTTTTACTTTCATCAAGAGGCTCTTCAGTTCCTCTTCGCTTTCTGCCATAAGGGTGGTCTCATCTGCGTATCTGAGGTTATAGGCATTTCTCCCAGCAGTCTTGATTCCAGCTTGTGCTTCATCCAGCCCAGCATTTCGCATGATGTATTCTGCATATAACTTAAATAAGCAGGGTGACAATATACATCCTTGATGTACTCCTTTCCCAATTTGGAACCAATCCATTGTTCTATATCTGGTTCTAACTGTTGCTTCTTGATCTGCATACAGATTTCTCAGGAGGGAGGTAAGTTCAGTGCAGTCGCTCAGTCATGTCTTGACTCTCTGTGATCCCATGGACTGCAGCACGCCAGGCCTCCCTGTCCATCACCAATTCCCAGAGCTTGTTCAAGCTTATGTCCATCAAGTCGGTGATGCCATCCAACCATCTCATCCTCTTTTGTCCCCTTCTCCTCCTGCCCTCAGTCTTTGCCAGCATCAGGGTCTTTTCCAATGAGTCAGTTCTTTGCATTAGGTGGTCAAAGTATTGGAGTTTCAGCTTCAGCATCAGTCCTTCCAATGAATATTCAGGACTGATTTCCTTTAGGATCAACTGGTTTGATCTCCTTGCAGTACAAGGGACTCTCAAGAGGCAGGTAAGGTGGTCTGGAATTCCCATCTCTTGAAGAATTTTCCATAGTTTTTTGTGATCCACACAGTCAAAGGCTTTGGTGTAGT